GAAGTAGTCTGCCTTGTCAGTATATTGGTTGCAAAATGTTTTAGCTAAAATTCTGTTCATCCTAAGTTGGGTGGCTCATAAATAGTTTCTTTTGTACTAAAACTTAAAAGCAGTGAGACTCAAGTTATATTTTGCATCATCATATAAACTTTCATTTTGTAATAACATCATACCATAATTATAGCAAAGGTAGCTAAAAATACAGTAATATATAATTTATTTAAACTTATAAATAATAGTTGCTAGAAAACAGAAAGTTATATTAACAAAGGGGAAAAAATACAGTTGCAAGAACTTTTTTCTTGAATTTCACTCTGACTGCTGTCAGAACTCTTTCAACTTCAACAAATTGGAGGTATAAAATCCCTAAGATTCAGACAGCCATTATAGTTGTGATTATCTTAATACTTTTCAGGATGGCATAACATTAACTACCTTGGAGAAGTGTTTGTTCAATTTTATGGCACTGTGCATCATTCTGAACAATGATAAACACATAAAACAGATAATTTGTTTATTTTATAGCAATAAGATTTTCAGAGCTTTCTCATAGGATTAAGTACTTGGAACCAAACTAATTGCATGCCATGGATGGGTACCTGGTTTACCTTTTGTTTAGTTTAGAAGGTTTTGTTTTCCTTTTCAAACCTCCATAAATTCTTTCTGTTTCCAAGCCTTTTACTTACAGCTTTTAGACAAATAGCAGAGCAGAAGCCAGGGTTGTTTGGATCCTCTAGTAACCCCATTTATCTCAACATGGGGAGTTGCACTCTGTTTTTTATTTTCTGACATTCAAAAAAATCTTAGTAATGCAGTAGTGTGATAATCCAATAAGAAACAAGGATTTGGCTAAATATGAGTTTTTTTAATGGAGTTGATTAGGTGTAACATTACAATCAAAACATCCTATAAAAATCTTCCAGGGTCATATTGAGTTCAACACTATATATATGCCTCTGTTTGTGTATGTTAATCTACAATCTGTCATGAGCTAAAGGTTTTTGTTACTCCTTGGTCATTTACATAAATGCCTCTCAAATTTACTCAGTTCTTGGGAATTTCAAGCTGTATAAATTTTGAGCTCAAATTGCTTTTCTCAGTTTATTTATTACACAACTATTTTGCATCCTTAGAAGATGGGATCTTGTGATCTGTGTGCTGACTCCCTTGAGTCCCAGCAGGGAGCAAAGAAATGTGTCTAATATTTAAACATGGTGAAGTGAGGCTTCTTAGAAGCTTATTGTCTCACTCCTGTGAGACTTGACAATTACTCTGTTGAGTCAGTCTAATGCAACAATTCCAAATGTCATTTAATAATGATCAAACGAGTTAAGTGGAAGTCAGCTTCATACAACATGAATTTCAAACATTTACACAGTACAACCACAGTTCTTTCAGTAAAAAAACTTCATTTGTTACAGAGTAATACTTCTCTCTCTATGGTGTCTATATTAAACCATGTGTAGGCACATTCTTGTATGGCTTAGAGATTGGCCATTTATCTCAGGTTTTCCTAACAGGCCATTTTAGATAGTCCTTGTGCCTTGCTACAAAGAGACAAACCATGAGAAAAGAAGGAAGAAAGCATACAATTTAGGTTTTAATCTTGTATTAATATATTTTGAAGAACATAATTATAGATGATTTTTTCAAGGAAACCTACAGAACTGAATTAAGAATTTCTTCCTTCCAGTGTTATTCAAGAAAGTTTTGTGACAGAATTTTTGCCTAGAAATTAATTTTAAATGAAAGAGCTCATGAGGACAACTCAAGTGTGATATTGGGTTCATCTACTTTATAGGGAGTATACATTTGCCAGAAGATCAGAAGAACAGCTTCTGCAGAGCTTACATGTTCTTGTTAAGTTGTATACAGACAAAAAGATTTACAACCAATCCATGGCTAGGATCTGCATGTAACACATAAAATAATTAACTCCTTTTCCTGCTTACCACTGTCTCCTCAAAATTTGTACATTTTAAGATACATTTAGCTTTAGACAGTGAAAGTAATTTAGGAGTGAAAATAGTTTTCTTTCCTGTCTTTTCTCTTTTTTTGAAGTGATGTGCATCCAATTCAGCAATTTCCCATTACTTTGCTCTCCTTCTTGCCTGCAGATCCTCTGTGTGTATTGTCTGCCCTCTCCCTCTCTCTGTGGGAAAAGCACATTTCCCTGTGCCTGGCTGAGGCCTCCTAACAGTTGCCAAAAGCTGGTTCTTCTATGCTGCCAGTCCTAATTTTTCCTCCTCCTGCCTGAAAGTGTCTCTGGTTTTCTAGAGATGCCAGCTAAGATGAAATTCTGTTTGGATATCAGAAAGGCAATGTGAATATCCATGGAACTCCTTAGCACACTCCTCTGACTCTATACAGCAGTTCAGCAAATTTAATTTTCAGAGGAATGAGGTGTTAGGCCAATGTTTAATGTTTACATTTACACAGGGTGATTTTTTCACACTGTGTTTAGAGATGGAGTTTTGGGTCTTGCTGATGTACTGGCCTTTCTAGTCAGGCTTCCTAAAGTTTGGGTTTATGCTTGCATGCTGAGTGGGTGCTTGAACACCATCCCAGCCCCTTGTAAATGCTCTCATCATGGCCTAGTGTGGGACTGGACATTTTCTTGTGTGTAAGTCATAGGACATGCTGAGTTGGAAAGGACCCAGCAGGATCACAGGGTCCATCCCCTGGCCCTGTGCAGGACATCCCAAGAGTCACACCATGTGACTGAAAGCATTGCCCCAGTGCTGTTTGAAATCAAACAGGCTTTGTACTGTGACCACAGGCATGGGGAACCTGTTCAGTGCTCAACCACCTTCTGTGTGAAAAACTTTTTCCTGATACTTAACCTAATGATTGGAGTGGGTGAGTGGGGAAGCCAGTGAAGTGAACTGAGAAAAAACTTGTCCTTGTACTTAACTGATAATGTAGATTCTACTGAGTTGACTGGATTGACAGCTTTTGGCTTTGTTCCCCACTGAGCAGTAGGATTTGCCCTCCATTTCTGAATCTGCCAAACTGGATTTAAAATGTGTGGTCTTTTATGCACTTTTCTCCCTGCATGAATCCAGTGAAATGCAGCTTCTCTGGTTTCAGTCCCTGTCAGCCACAGAGAAGTGTCAAATCTGACAAGTCTGTAGCAATGGGGGTGCAGATTTAAGCACTGAAGAGAGAACAAACATATTTTTGGATACTTTTATTAAGTGTGACACTGAGGCATCCAATCAGTTCATTTTCATGCATGCCCTATTATTTATGTGGAATGTTTTCCACATAACTTTCTTGGCGACCTTTTAGAGGAAAGGTGAAATGGCAAATAACCTGGAGAACTGCCTGGTCAGCTATTAAGAGACTTGCATTTGGTGCTGCATCATGGTCACAACCTATGCTGTTTAAACAGCAGTGACTCACCACACCCCAAACTAGCACACTGAGGTCAGGTAAGTCAGGAGGTTCCCCAAAACACTGCACAGGGTGCATAATCTAAGCATGCACTCTCTTCTGTCCCAAAGCTGGTGAAAGGGATCTGCCATGGCAGCTCAGGAGCTGAGAGAGAGACTTGCTATGGCCTTCTTATCTCTTCCTGCTTCTAAAAGGCAAAAAATGACACTCAGGCAACCTTGGTCCTGAATAGAGCTGCACAGGTGTGGCTCCTCCAGCCAGCAAGCTCTAAGGAAACATGTCACCTGAAGCACCTGCTCTGCAGCTCTTACCATCCCTTGATACTTTCTAAAGCCTGGGTGACCATTACCTGTATAGTAGGAGTTGAATATATAGTGTTCAGGAAGACTTTGAAGTTTGAATCTGAGTCTCTTGCCCACAATCTACTTTTTTGAGGAGGAAAAAATACAGGAATCTCAATTTGAAAATCTGATTTGACACAAAATCCCTGCAAAAGCATGGTTAGGATTATATCTTGAGAGATGAATTTATTTAACCTAAGGGCAGCAAGAGATTAGGTATTTTAATACCCTCCTCTTTCCTAATGGCTGTACAGAGTGCTGACACTTGTTAGGCTTGGGGAATATGACCTATACACAGAAGTGATTAGACTGTGAAGTGAATTTTTTTTAACACCTCCTACTGAAAACATAGTGTTTTTTCACAAAACAAAGAATATTTTTCAGGAGGCATAATGGCATTCCTATGAAATCAGAGGAATTGTCACTCAAGTGGGACATGCAGGCTTACGAAGTGGTCTCACAGATATGTCCCAAATTTTGCAATCTTCTCAAGGCAGTGGGAGGATGATTTTCAATGCTCTCACAAGTGAGACAACCTAACTACATAGAAAACAGTATCAATATCAGTAATAACAACATCAGTAATAATTGTTGTGATTTAACATTTCAGAATAGCTAGGTACTTTGCTACTGATCTTAACATGCTAAATTTAGCTATCTAATTTTTAAATTATACTTGTCAGTTCAGTTTTCCCTGGAAAATCTTACATGACAGATGAATGTACAGGTGATGAGGCAAAAAATTGCTGTAATTTAATATGTGTTTTTTTTCTGAGATGACAATGCATTTTGTATATTTCAAAATTAAATGTGTTTTATTTTTTCATTGTCATCATCCTTTCATTTTTGTACAACAGATTAATTTTCATTAAAAACATAAGGCCTGAACAAGGATATCCTCTTGGGCTCAGTCCTGTTCTCTCAACAAGCATATTTCCTATACAGAAAACTGCTATTGAAAATTTGCTTGAATCGTGAGTAAGAAAAGAAATTTTGATTCATTTATTTGGTATTTAACCCCGAATGATTCACTTGAGGGGTAAATTATACAAACAATCCCTAATATTTTTTAAACCACAGCCTTACTTAATTTCTGTGGGTATGAGAAAAGGTTGAAAAAACACAATCCCTTTTAGTTAATTGAATCTATATCTTTCAGTATAATTTAATCTATATAGCTAATCTCTTTTTGACTGTAGTCATGTGAATGTGAAAAATTATCAATTTCTTTAAAGCTAACTATACTTTAACTTTGGTTTTAGACTATGCTATGTTATTTTCTTCATGACACCAACAGAACGGGAACGTCCCACAGCATGGCTGCAGCCAAGGCTTCCATATATTATTGTAAGGAGACAGCTGCTGTGGGACTGGAGTCAGAGTCTTGCGATGCTCTTCCACAGCTCTTCTTATTCTCCTCACTACGGTGTCAAACAAGGGCTCAGTGTCAGCTGATACAGGATTTGCCTCAGACGGATCCTGGGAGAGATTGAACAGCAGCGGAGGGTCATGATGGGTTACACCATCCCCGAAACACGGACAAATTCCTCTTCTGAAACAGGCCCCAGAGGCTTCTGGCTCAAATACTGGAGTGGCATAATGAGCTTTCCATACGGTGCCACCTGTCACAGGAGAAGCACATTTGAACAGCTTAATGTCTTTAGGAGCTGGGGGGTGGTCCCTGAAAGGTTGGATCATGTTTAAGTGATCTGCTTTGTTGTTCCAAGGGGAAGCTTATGTCATGGTTGCTGCATACAGGGAGAAGGTGTTGTGGAAGCTGGCAGGGATTCAAGTAGTTTCAGGTACCTTAGCCCTCCGTACCATGTGCAGTATATGGATGGTTAGCCAAATATTTTCAGTACAGATGGAGTATGCCTCTTTCTTGTTCTCCTTTAAAAGTTTCCAAGCCTCTTGGAGGAGGGAAAAAGGAGAATGTAGTCCCCAGTTTCTGGGTGTATATATTGATAGGTGGTTCCTCTTCTGGCTTTGTATATCTAAGTGAAGAAGTACATTTAGGCAGAAACTGACTGCAGATTATTTCTCTCCTCATGTTGCAGCATGCTTCCAAAAAGGGTGGTAAGTGCAGGCCTTTAAAATCTGGAGTCTAGTTTTTAAGTTAATATGAAGAAGGCAAATGGCTCACAGTTTTGGAGCTTGTACTTCATCAAGCTCTTGTACTGACCATGGGATAAGCACAGGTTTGTAACTTGTGGTGAAAAAGTGGTAAATTACTAGGACTACAGCTGAATATAGTTCATCAGGACATTTTACTTTTCCCTCTCGTCTCCTTTTTCTCCTATTCCTCACCTCACATTTAGAAAGCACTACACTGAACTCAGAGGCAAGGATGTGCCCAGCAAGACACTATGTCTGAAAAAGGACACAAAAAGAAAGGGAACATTCACCACTTGGAGTCATTTCTGTGCTCAAAGCATTAAAGAGCTGACAACTGCATTGTCCCTACATGCAATTTTCTTTTTGGTTCAATGGAATGAGCTGAACTTTTCTTCCTTTCTTCTCTTGTGTCCAGAGCTCTTCTTTATGTCTGAATTATTCTTCAGTCTCTCTCTTGTCACTACCCTACAACAATATTTTGTGAATAAATAGAATTTTAAAACTTCTTAAAAGGTGAAGGGGCATAAACAAATAAGATGTATTAAGGTTTAGGTAATATCATAGATCAAAATATCCAGTTGCTGGCTAGCTGGCTGGCACTGTATTTCTTTATTTTCACCACACAGTTTTCACATCATGCTTCTGCACTTTTATGAGGGATGGTGTCTCAATGGTTCTGAAATGTTTAGGCATAAGAAAATGAAGATAAATGCTAGATATCTCAACTTCTGAAATTGTGAAAGAAAGGATAAAAATGTTATCTGAAAGAAAAAGGGTTAGAGTGTGGTGGTGATATTGCCAAGGTCGTGGATTCTTGTGGATTCAGTCCCTGAATGGGTCATTTCCTTAAGAGTTGGACTTGATGATCCTTATGGGGCCTTTTCCAGCTCAGAATATCATGGATCTGGAAATAAAGATGAAATCTTTCAACTTTCTGACAGCTTATGAGGGCAGACAGATACTCCTTAGGTCTGTTTGAGTATTTGCTTTGCTGCTGGCTGGATATCCACTGCATCCTTAAGCTTATCCGTCTTGTTACTAAAAAGATGTTTGTTTTGTGACAGAAGTGCAAGCATCCTCTGTGATATCACGGTGCCCAGAGTATGGGATTTACTTCTTATATCTGTTGGTCAGGCAACATAGATATTTCTTACAAGGAGTTAAATGAGCACTCCCTGGGACACATCTTTTTTTTGAATATCTAGCTCTAGCTGGAGTGCTGTTATGATATTACTAAAATACTAATTTATTATATGATATGGACACATGGGCTTACCTAGATGTACCTAGAAATTAGTGATCAGTGTTCAGAAAAACTGAACTAGGTAGTCATTATTTTCCATGAATAATTGAGCTGAATTCTTTATTATCATCACACTGTATGGCAATTTGGAGTAGTGAGTTGTAGAGTGTCTGGGGAGAACTGTTCTGATTCTGCTAAATTTTGACATTCACTTTTTACAGTTACAAATAATTACTGGAGTTGCAGAGTGAGAGACAGACAAATCCTTGTTAGTTCACTTTGAAGGACAGAGCAAGGCTGATTCTAATTAACCTGCATTGGTGAGCTGAGTAGACAGCTGGGTTACAGAAAGATAAAAAAATAAAGGTAGTAGAAGTCAGTGCTGATAAAAGCTGTGGGGGTTTCACTCATCTCCAAGAGGCAAAAAGGGATATACAATTTGCTACTGAAGTAGCTCTGACAGAATCTGAAGGGTGCATGTGCATGTTAGGACAGCATGTTAATTTAATATATCCAAGGGAAAGGAAACCTGCTGCTTCAATCCAAATATGCCTCAAACCCATCTCGTAACAATCAATCGGTTTAATGAGCAGAAAGAAATGGACTGTAACTAATAAGACTTGTGGAGCAGAGGTAAAGGAAAGGACTCTTTAACATATAAACAAAGGATTCTTCTGGCTTCAGGGAAGGCCTTAAAGGATAGGTCCTGCCTGAGTGACATCAAGACACAATGGCTTGATATATAGGTATCTAGGCTGATCAAGAGACAGATGTTAATAAATAAGTAATGATAATAAATAAGTATTCTGAGTGTGACATACTTGTAAATGAACTAAAACAGCCTGGTCTGTCAGCCCAATCAGAAGAAACTGCAGTTGCAGCAAAAAACCAAAATTTGGCGTGTCTGAAAGCTGACCTGCATATTTGAGTAGCTGGTGTTTTTTATGCAGAACATGGCATTGTTTTAGGCCCCTTGCCATAAACAGTTCAATGGGAAAAAATGTAGAAAGGCATGCATAAGAAAGCTAAATGTGCACATGGCTTCATAGGAACATGAAATGCCACAAAATCCATCTTGCATCTGCATGTTGTATGCATAGCTACTTTAGTAGAACTTACATAGTTTAGAAGAACAAGCAATGTAATTTAGGCAAGGAAAATATCAGGAGAACCTGAAAAGCAATTCTTCAAATGCCCCATTTGTTTGGAGTATGAATTTAGCCTCTCACTAAGGAAGTGTGGAATGACTCTTCCAGCAGGAATATTATCCAGGAACTGGGGCAGTCAGACACAACTTTCTCTGCCCAGAAAAAAATGCTGTGCATTACAAAGAAACAAAGAGAGATGTCTAAGAAATGTGAGAGATTCTGGAAGCTTTACTTCCTAGGAAGCAAACCCCTTCATCTCAGATGACGCAAGACAACTAACACTGAGGCCTCACAGAAGAACTGAGAGTTTGAGACAATGAATGAAGTCCATACATATATATATGTATATTTGTGTATATGTACATTTTTATATTATATTGTAATGGAAGCTAGAGGGCATTACACCATTTCTGGCTTGCAGGAGGGGATGTTTATACTCACTGTCCTTCTGGTGCCAGCGCACTGCATGCAGGAACACGCCGCAGTAGTGGAACAGGAACTCATGCCTGGAGTGCTGCTCTGTCCCCTGCAGCAGGGGCAGCAATGTGTGCCCATCCACAACCCTGATGGAGACGACCAGAGTCAGCAGACAGCTTAAGAACTTTAAGTCTGCAGCTGAAGCATGAACAGTATTCATTCTGTGTGTACAGCATTAAGATTTCAAGTGTCATCACTAAACCAACGTACTGTTCAGCTAATGAGCCCTGAGATTTTTAATTGGATGAATGTGTGGAGACCAGTAATTAGCAGTTACTAGAAGTTTTTGCATTTAGTTAGTTCACACATCCTGCCTGGGGAGATCAGACACCATTACTGTAATTTTCCTGGAAGTGATAACAATAGCGAAGGCATGGTTCACAGGTTTTAATTTTGCCACCTAAATGGGAAGCACTGACAGCTCTGTGAGCTCCAGGCTTTGTAAAAATAATTTTAAAAAAAGAAGCCACTTACCGAAGTGCCTAGAAATTTGGTTACAATCTGGGTTGTAACTGGCTTTAGTTACAGTCTACCAGTAACATCTATGCTTTTTGCTGAAATGGCTTATCCACCCACACTTTCTCATGTCCTTTTTAGAAAAGTCTGGTTTTTTTCAGTCATTCCTAGTGCCCCAAATCAAATAAGTTTCTTTTCAGTGATAGGAGAACTGAGATAGTTAAATGACCCTTAATAAAACATAAAAGTTTTTTTCTTTGCCTTTTTCACATAAGCAGACAAGATGGGTAATGCTGTGCAGAAAGAAAGCTAGCAAATTGCCTGGTTTAGAAACAAAGAGAATTGAACGTCTAGCTGTTAGGATGCACGACACAGCTTCTGTCTGAATAAAGAAAGAGAAGCAATATGATTTATGAAGCCACCCCTATACCTGTCTTGAGGCACTGCTCCTCCAGCCAGTTGAACTACTGTAGGATAAAGGTCCATAAGGCTTGTAGGTTCATCAATAACTGTGCCTGCAGGAAACACTCCTGGCCATCTAACTATACCTGGAACACGGATTCCTCCTTCCCAGCCTCCCATTCCTTTTCCACCTGTTATAGAAGGGGGAGAAGTATCAAAAAGATAAAAGAAGATACCAGATGTTTATTGTGCATATATAGGAAAATGTTCTAAAACTTCTAGGGTATTTCATGCACCTTTAGTGAAAACATACTATATCCTTGAAAACAGTAGACTGTCATTCAGCAGTGGTTCTTCTCATTATTTGTATGTTTCAGCCCTCCAATCCAAGACTATAATCCCATAATATAGTTTATTAAATGTAGTCTGTTTGGATATATTTTTCCTATCACTCTTTATTTTAGGAGATAGTCTTATGCATTTACAAACTACTAAAATTTTACCTTTATATATCCCATTCCATCCACCCAACTGAGAATTTCCTCTGTGAGCCTCTAAGAATCCTCCATGATCAGATGCAAAATAAATGAATGTGGTATTCTTCAAGCCCTCTTTGTCAATAACATCCAGAAGCCTGCCTATAAACAAAGCAAAACATCATAATTACATCAGCAGATACAGTCAGATTTTTTTTAGTCCTGGACTCCACATTCAGTGAAGACTGAGTCTTTCCATTTGCCTGAATGTGTTCTGTTTTGATTTACCACATTCAGTACCATGTCAAAGACACCTTGACAAATGAGAGAGATAGGCAATCACCAGCCATGTGAAGTTTAACAAGGGAAAGTGCAGGAAAGTGCACCTGAGAAAAGGCAATCCTTGTTATCTGTGTGCACTGAGGAAGGAGATGCTGCAAAGCAGCGCTGCAGAAAGGGACCTGGGAGTCCCAGTCAATGGCAAGTTGAACAGTGCCCTGGCAATGGCAAGTCAGCAGTGCCCTGGCAGCCAGGAGGGCCATCCTGGGATGTCCTGGGGGAACCAGGCATAGCATGGCCAGACAGGTAAGGGAGAGGATTGTCCTGCTCTGCTCTGCACTGGGGCAACCTCACCTCGAGTGCTGGGCGCAGTTTTGGGTGCCACAACATAAGAAGTTCCTTTCTAAGCAATTAGAGAGCATCCAAAGGAGGGCCATGAGGATGATGAAGGGCCTTGAGGGAAAGCCTTATGAGGAATGGCTGAGGTCAATTGGTCTGTTCAGCCTGGAGGAGACTGAGGGGAGACCTCTTTGCAGTTTTCAACATTCTTATGAGGGGTAGCATAGGGGCAGACACTGATCTCTTCGCTCTAAGGACTAGTGAGAGGACCTGAGGAAATAAAATGAAGCTGTGCCCGTGGAGGTTTAGGTAAGATATCAGGAAAAAGTCTTCCACCAAGAGAGTGGTTGGGCATTGGAACAAGCTCTGCAGCAAAATGTTGACAGCACAAGCCTGACAGTTCAAGGAACGTTTGGACAATTCTCTCAGGCAGACGCTGTCTTTCCTGGGGTGTCCTGCACAAGGCAGGAGTTGGACTTTGATGATCCTGTTTGGCCTCTTCCAACTCAGCATATTCTATGATTCTATGAAACAATAAGAGCCCAAGAGAAAGCTGATGAATGTTTATAACATTTGTTTCTGGTGTGTATAAAAACAGGGAAAAAAAAAAAAAAACAAGTGGAAAATAAATGAGTTCTACTTTAATTCAAGCTACTCAAAATACTCTGTCAGCTTTATTCTGTAGATTCTGCATCAAGACTTGTCGCCTCAAACATCTTGTAAAGCTTAAATAATAGTACTGCTCTGATTACTAATAGAAAACTGCTGTGTCCTACCAGGAACTGAACATGGACTCTGAGACCAGACTGCATACTATCAAGCAAAATAATTTCCTGATCTCAGCAATAAAAACTTCATAGACAATAATTCAAACCTAACTTCATAGAGCATGCTTTCTGTAGTGATCCCATTAAATGTTTATATAGAATGTGATTTATCTTCAATTAATTGTCTTCATCATCTTCTGCATTAAATATATTTGCCAAGAACAGCTTCCATACCTACAGAAGCAGCAGCGAAAGCTGAACTGCACAAAAAAAAGCACAAGCCAGCAATCACTACTTTTGCTCAGTTTCCTTTCCTTTCCTTTCCTTTCCTTTCCTTTCCTTTCCTTTCCTTTCCTTTCCTTTCCTTTCCTTTCCTTTCCTTTCCTTTCCTTTC